GGGGGAGAGAGGGATTCATTTTAAGGAACTGGCTCAGGTAATTATCACTGCAGGGCAGACCAGCAGGTTAGAGGCCCAGGAACTTGCAGTTCAAGTCTGAAGGCGATCTGCTGGCAGAATTCCTTCTTGCTCAGGGGAGGTCAATCTTTGTTCTCTTAAGGGCTTCAGCTGATAGGCTGAGTCCCATGCATATTATAGGAGGCGATCTGATTCACTACTCTAAGTCCACTGATTTGAATGTTAATCTCAGCAAAAAAACCACTTTCACAGAAACATCTAGAATAAAGTTGGAACAAATTTCTTCACTTGCTAAGCCTCTTGGTTAGTGATTAGAGAACTAGACAGTTGGTGCACCCGTTGTTAGGAATTTGGATTTGTATTATGATAACTTTAAGTCCTAAGTTATGTTGTGTAAAAGATTCTATCCCGTACCACTGAAAATATTTTCACAGTAATTATGGCTAACGTTTATATTAAAAGCTTAAGATCTGTATATATAGAAGGGTATTTCATTAAGAAGGGGAATATGGGGGAAACGCAGAGAGAAAAATTATGAGAGGGAGATTCTATTAGTTAGTACCTGCTATATGCAATAGGGCAGATAGAAAAGCACAAATATAGCTCCTTGACAGAATTCCCTGACTTTACAAGTTTGTTAGAAAAGAAATCACCATGCACAATACAACTGGAGAAGCATAATATGTTCTAAGCACTACAGTTATGCTCAGAGAGCAATCTGGGTTGGAATAATCTAAGAAGGTTCAGGGAGAAGGTGAGACTTGAGCTAAGATTTATAACGAGCTAGGGGAAAAGGGACAGCCTTCCACAAAAGGAAAACAGCTGGGGGCAAAATTCTGAGGCTTGAGAGAAAGCATCCTTGCTTTGAGGGCACCTGTGGCCCAGGATCAGAAGGGGGAATAAAGGCCTTCAGCTGCAGTCCAGGGACAGGGTAAGAAAGGCTTTGGGGGAGCTTGTCAGGGGACTGCTATCTGACAAGGGCCTTACTCAAGTACTTCTCATTTAGCTAGGGATGGAGCAGGTTACTGAAATTCTGGGCTTCAAAGCAGGGTTTATGTTGAGAATTTTGATACACTAAACTGATCAGAATGGACTAGATTGCAAGGATACAGAAATGGCTTCAGCTGTGCTCCCTCAAGTCGCTTCAGATTTTATCTAGCCTTCTGTCTGACTGGGAGGGAATTGCTTGTTTATTATAGTACCATACAAAGGACGGAGAAAATGTAAATTTTCCATATCAAAGAAGGGGGAGACTGGTGTTGGAGGTTATAGGGTCTTTCAAACCTCCCAGTGGATATCTGTTATGACTATAGCATGCTTCCCACTATTTTCTTTGGGACACAGCTCTCCTTGCTGAACTATAAAGAGAAGGTAAGAGCCAGGTGTGATGCTTATTATACTGCTTTCTTCAACAGCCTAAAAAACTTTCTCACAATTTGGAAGGAGATTTTCAAATTGGTGTGGTAGAAGGAGCACCTGGGCATTTGTGTCTAAAATCTGATGTTCTCACTTAATAGTTTTGTGCCCTCGGAAAACTTCAGTTTTTGTGCCTTTGTTTTTCTATAGGCAAAATAGGGAACTGTGAAAGAGAGGTTCTCCACTGGCTTGTACAGCACCTCCCACCCCCATCACCTCTTGTGGGGCTTTGCAATCCTGTGTGTGTGTCGGGGAGGGTTGCGTTTTAATCGTGTGTGTGTGTGTGTGTGTGCGCGTGTGCGCGCGTCGGGGAGGGGTGCGTTTTGTATTCTTAAGAGGAGTGCCAAAGCAACTAGTGGGCAGAAGCCAGACACCAAATATCTTGCAATGCCTGAGGCAGTCCCGCAAACGAAGAAAAGTCCTGCTCCAAATGCCACAGAACCCCATTAAGAAACGCTCATGGACCCTAAGGGTCCTTCCCACTTTAACATTTGAGGACTTCACTAAGCCTTGCACTTGGAGGGCCACGCCACAGGCCAGGGCCTCCCGTGCCCGGCACATCCCCCAACCTCACCAACTGCTAACCAAATCATCACTCAGGCTTCCACATGTATTTCACTTCTCGGAGATACCTTCCCTGGTGCCTGTTGCCGTCTTATAATTCTATTGTTTGACTGTTACTTGATTAATATCTGCCCCCCTCCCCGACTCGGTCAACTCCTTAAGAGCAGGGCCCGCAGCACTCACCTAATACTTTCTGAATATAACAGGCGGAGAGCGGATGCACAGGGGAAGAACAAGCGACTCGAAAGCGCGCCTCGCCGGCGTCTGACGTCACCTTGCAACTTCCGTTCCTTCCCGCCCCTCCGGCCACCCCTCCTCCCTGTCCGTGTTTGTTTCCGGCGTTTCAATAAAGCTCGATTCGGCTAGAAGAAGACTGTTCTTCCGGGAAAATGGCGACTCCCGCTCGTTCGCCGGAGTCCCCGCTGGCCGCGGATCCGCCGCCAGCAGCAGGGGCTGCCGAGGACGCCGAGTGCCCGCCGCCTCGCCAGCCTCAGCCCCCGCAGAATGTTCTCGCTGCCCCGCGGCTTCGAGCCCCAAGCTCCCGAGGACTTGGGGCAGCGGAGTTTGGCGGAGCTGCGGGAAATGTTGAAGCGCCAGGAGAGACTTTTGCGCAACGTGTAAGCTTGGGTCCCGCCGAGTCACCGCCGGGCTCCTCGGGTTCAAGCTCCCTGGGACGCGTCCCTCCCCGCCCCCACCCCGATCTCGTCCCTGGAAGGTGACCTTGCTTCAGTCAGGTTCATTCCAGGCCCACGGGCGAGTGGCCGGCCTACAGTCGCAGAGCCGACCGCTTCCAGCCAGGCGCGGGGCGCCTGTGGGGATGGCTTCCTAGCGTTTCAGCTCGTCATTAGCTCCTCGTTGGTTTTACCCAGCTCCTGTGTCGGTTCTCCGAAGGGGGGGATCTGTATCCCAAATCCTTTCTCCTTCCCTCCTCCCCAGTAGTGCCCCAAACATCTAGTCAATTTCATCTGTAGATCCCTATTTTTACAGGAACTGTAGGAAATGGGAAGAGTGGGATAAAAGAGTTGATTTATTAGGCAAAGAAAGTTTGACTCCCATTCAGCTGGTAGACTTAATAGGTTTTAGCAGAGGATCGGTATAATGAAAATGATTTCTTAGGAAGCTGATTTTAGCAGGTCGGTGCAGGATAGTTTGAAGGAATAAGAGGCAGAAGAGAGTAGGAGGATATTTTCAGAGAGGTTCCCAGTAGGGGAGTTGTAAGAAAGTGAACTAGAAGGGTAGTTGTGGGATTGGGAAAACTTCATCAGGTATAGGATAATTTGAATATGTAGTCGACAGAGATGGCTGAAGTTTCCAGCCTGTATGGAACACCATTAATAAAAATAGGAAAGTTGGGGGAGGGGAATAGGTCTGAGATGGATTTACCAGAGCTGAGTTGATGGAAGAGTTAATTATATCTGATTAAAAGCTGGAGAAGTGATCAGGAGGCTCAAGAGAGAGAGAAAAGTTTGGGAAAACATGGGCATCGCAACTGGAGACGGATGTTAAGTTAGAATTGGGGGAATGAATGTCGTGTCATAAAGAATAGGGGGCCTGAGATCTAACCTTCCCTTCCCATTTTGTATGGCTGAAGAAAAGGAAATCAGAAAAGGAACTTCTGCCACTTAGCAAAAGGGGCAAATGATCACTTGGGGGGCTTCTTACAACTATTTTGACTTTGTGAGAATGGGATTTTAGTCTACAGTGGTGAGTTAACTTTTGGTCTTAGGACCCCTTTTACTCTTAAGACAGCATCCTGAAGAGCTCTTGTGTGTCATATCTACTCATATTTATCATTGTCTTAGGAATTACAAGTAAGAATCTTTAAAACACAAGGATACACAAGCACACACATTCTATTAGCCATCAGAGCAATGATATCATCCATATCATGGGGCCTCTGGCAAACTCCCCTGTACTCATGGTAAGAAAATGAGAGTGAAAATGCCAAATAGTATCTTAGTGTTATTATTAAAATAGTTTTGATCTTGCAGATCCATCCACCTCCCCTCCCCATGAAGGTCTTGGAGATCACACTTTTAAAAACTGATGATTTGGGGGATGTCTTTTATTAGTATCATGCTTAAAATACTTCTGCAGAAATTCTAATTAGATGAGACAAATGAGGCATATTCCCTATTCTTCCTGCAGCCCCTTCTTTTTGGGGGGTATTTGGATAATGATTCTCTTATTTCATTCCTGTTTTGGGCCAGTTGGAAATTGGATTTTTGACTTAAAGATTGATTCTTCTCCCTTTGAGAATAATGCTTTTTTGTCTGTATATCTCAAGTTTAAAAACACGGCTGTCTCTAATGTATACTGTTCTTTTCCTTTTGCCAGAAAATTCATTTGCAAATTGCCCGACAAAGGTAAAAAGATCTTAGACTCCGTCGCCAAACTGAAAGCTGCCATTGCAGAACGTGAAGAAGTTAGAGGAAGAAGTGAACTCTTTCATCCCATTAGTTTAGACTGTAAGGAGAGGCAAAAAGCGATTACAGCTGTTGATGGGGACACAGATAAGGCCCAGAATTCTGACCAGATACTTGATACTTCATCACCAGTTCCTGGCTGTTCCTCTGTAGCTAACATCACATCATCTCAGACAACCTCACAACAACAGGGACTGGCACGTCCGACTCTCGGAGGCGATGCTGAGGCCCCTGAGGCGGAACACACAGTGAGCGAAGGCCCAGCTTCCAGCATCAGAACTGCCACGCCTTCCTCATCTGCAGCTAGTGAGCTCCTCACTCAGCATCGTGCTTCAAGTCAAGTGGAGGGTCATCCTAGCAGCTCGGGCGACCTGTTTATTGATAGGTTACAAAGGATCACCATTGCAGACCCCGCTGAACACCACTCAGAAGAAAACCAGAGTCCTGAGAACTTGGCCGGCCTTTGCAGTGGGCTGCAGAAGAAGCCTCATTACATGGAAGTGCTAGAAATGCGAGCCAAAAACCCCATGCCCCTACAGCATAAATTTAAAACCAATGTGTAAGTACCATCAGAAGCAGGCTTGTCACAGGAGCATAATGTCTGTTAAACTCAAAAAACTGGGAGAATGCTTTAAGGTCAGTGGACTTGGTGTGAGAACTACTTGTACTTGGGAATGAGGGTATTGTGGAAACAGGGAAACTAGCCTGGCTGGAGTGGAGGATTCATGTTGAAAAATGCTTTAGTTTTTTTAGCCAAATAATTGAAAAGGTCTTCAATGACAGATGAAGTGTTAAATTTCAGGAGACTTCAGCAATGTCTCATATTAAACATGGAGTTAGAGAATTTATTACAGTTTTTTCCAGAACCATTTTCTGGTATGTAGTTCCCCCTTTGACTAGACTGTAAGCTAAGGGGAAAACAACTGCAGGAGCTGATAGCCTTTCTCAGTAAAAAATATTTGTGTGCTCACTACATGTAAGCAGCAGACGCTGTGGCCGTACAAGAGTAAAGATTCTGCTCCTTATGGCGTTTATGACCTAGATGAGGACTCGCGGCTTACACGCTTGGAAGAACGGTAAACTGTATAATAATTTCAGGAGGAAGGGATCTGAGGAGGGGTTAAAAAAACTGAAAACAGATTTGGGCAGGAGGAGCAAATGAACCCTGCTTCTAAGGTCCTTGTCATAGTTTTGTGTCCGAGATCTTCAGAAAAACAAAAGCTCTTTGCAAAGAGTGTTATTTATTTATATGCAAATATAACATTCAAATCAGGGAGTAGATTTATAAGAATGTTAACATCAGATACAAAGTCTAACCACTACTGCCTTTCTTTGAAAAACTGAAAGCCTATTAGGTAAAAATACTTAAAACCAATTTTTTTGTTATAGAGACTTTAAAGTTTAGTCCTATCTTACCATTCATTTTTATAACCTCAAAACTATTTCTTCTGCATAGAAAACCAGAATTATCTTACATTAATTTTTAGTTAGGAATAAAAAGTAATCGTTGATTATTTGGTCATCTTGTGCGTGGTGAGGTATCTTTCCTCACTTCTAGGGAGGCAGAAGACCAGAAGCATCATCTAGTCAATATATACAGCAGAGAATACACTGATCCTGGTTCTGTTTTATGGTCATTTAGCTGGAAGTGGGAGGAGAGTAAGGGAGTATCAGTGGAGGGTTCCCAAGGGAAGTTTATGAGAGACAGAGACAGAAGTGCAGTTATCAACAGGCTGGGCCTTGGTAAGTCAGGCTGTAGAAAAATGGAGGTTGGGAGGTGGGATAAGGGTGTCCTTTGGCTTCTTTTCTACTCTTCCTTTGCCCTCCTACATGCTCTTCTGGCTCTTCTGGATGCTGGAGGCCACCCATCATCTACTTCTAGTCCAAGTCTTCCCAGAACTTCAGATTTGTGTAGCTGTGAAACCTGACCATGTGGGGGTGATCTGTGGCACCTTAGGTTTACCAGGTACAAAGTAGAACTCATTTCTTCCCAAACTACTTTCTCCCATATTCCCTAAGTCAGCAGTGCCACTACCTTCTTTCTTTCCCTCCTTTCCATATCTGCTAGCCATGGAACCTGACAGTATATTTCCTTGACCTTCAACTCTAATCATTGTTATGTTCATCGTTTCTCCTGTCAAAGTGAAGACTCTCATTGCTCTCTTAGGCTATAGTTGTGGTCTGTCCTGGCCTAGTCTTAACTCTATCAGTCCATCCTCTCCACTGCTGCCATAGTGCAGTTTGTAAATGTAAACCTGAACCTGTTACATAGAATAGAAGTCTTCTCTGTGGACTGGACCCAGCCTACTCCGCCAGCTGTATCTTGCTGCCTTTTCCATTTTCTCCACTTCCAGTGCTTCCTGTGTGCTGCAGCCCTGTCACTCCTCACTCCCCGCTGGGATGCCATCAGGGATCCCATAATTTACATGCCGAATTCTTATTATTCTGAAACTCCTCAAATTGCACACTTTTTTTTTTTTTTTTTTTTTTTTTTTTGGCGGTACACGGGCCTCTCACTGTTGTGGTCTCTCCCGTTGCGGAGCACAGGCTCCAGACGCGCAGGCTCAGCGGCCATGGCTCACGGGCCCAGCCGCTCTGCGGCACGTGGGATCTTCCCGGACCGGGGCACGAACCCGTGTCCCCTGCATCGGCAGGTGGACTCTCAACCACTGTGCCACCAGGGAAGCCCCTGCAAATGTTTTTGAATGAAGAAAATGAAAACAGACTTCAGCTCAAGTATAAGCTGAAGAGAGAAGGGAAAGGCAAAGAGTCTATCTAAACCTATTATCTGTTAGAGCCACACGTTGTCAAATTACTTGCCAAAAAGGTGCCAATTTAAATATTTCTGTTTTTGAGGTAAATATGTTAAAAAAAAAAGTTTTATTTACACATGTAAATAGTGGTAAAGGGCTTACTATTACTTTTGTAGAAGAATTAATTGCCAAGGTTAAAGGCCACATTTGTGTGTATGAATGTTGCAAATACGTGTCTATGAAAAGGAAGTAGTCTGGTGGTGTAACATAAGTGTTGCTTCCTTCAGATTACCTTCACATCAACGTGATTCGTTGAGTCCTTGTCAGAGGAGGGGGTCTCCTGTCTCCTCAGAAGAGAGACGGCACAGGGACAGGAAGCATCTCGATGACATCACAGCAGCCCGGCTTCTGCCACTCCACCACATGCCTACACAGCTGCTCTCCACAGAAGAGTCGCTGGCACTTCAGAAACAGCAGAAACAGAGTTATGAGGTATTTAGGATATGACTTGTTTCTTGTCTGCATGTTGGACGCTGCTTGAGTAAGTCAGAATTTACTCCAGGTTGTTCCAGGGAGAGTGGGATTTAGTAGAAGGGATTAGGTGCTAGAGACATGGTTAGCTGACGACATCAGGTCTCAGATGTGTGCCTCTAGCTTGCAGAGTCTCACGTTTTTTGGAACTGCAGGGAACAGCTACCTGTGACATCAAGGTGGTATTTTCCAGGAAATATGGGGAGACTACTGCAAAATTTCACATCTCTGAAAGCCCAGGCTGTAGGTAGCAGTAGTATCTCTTCTTGGTCTTCCACCTTAAAAAACCTATGCGAGAGCTTGTCAGTGGTGGAATCTGATTGGAACCCTGCTAAGAGAATCAAGGAAGTGCGGTTTCCAAGCCCCTTCAATACAGGGAGAGCAGGAGAGGGATGGGGAGGTAGTGGTGTGTTAGGAACAGACGGGGTCGGATACACAGGCCTGCAGGCCCTTGTGAAGACTGAAGCATCTTCTACTTTTGGTTACTTAATTTTGGATAGCACTTTCTTCAAAGATCTGTGTGTTCTGCATGGAACTTTAAATATGTATGTTGACAGTCTGGGTATAAAATAATGGGATGGGAGAAAATTAAGTGTGAGGACCATTGGGAGGAAAGAAAGGGTCTGATATACTTGAATAGTAATAATTAGAGCCTCCAGGAAAATAGCAGCCAAACCTAGTTTTGCTTAGGTGGATTTTAATGGGGTACAATATGTCACTTACTACAAAATTACGTTGTTATTCTGCCTTGGCTTTCCATAAAAGCTCCGTTGGCATGGACTGGGATTTTCAAGGCACTCCTTTTTAAAAGCCAGTTTTCTTCCTCTCAGTGCATTCAAGTTATTGCCTGGTTGTAACTAAGCATTGAGGAATTATTTTTTAAGTTGTCTATTTGATCCTAAATGCCTGTCCGAAGTTATTTTTAGGCTGAATTAAACCATTCAGTTTGGAATTGGTTTCCTTGGTAGTACTAGTTCCACTTCAGTCCCACCTACCTGTGCTATCCGTGGCCTTAGGGGAGGGACATAAACAAGTTCCAGTGGTTTGGGGGGGCAGTCTGAGAAAAGTGAAGAGCCAGAGTAGGAATGAGCATTGCCACCTGCCATCAGTCAGTGACGGTGTCTTTGCATGTATAAAAGCACAGTGCCAATGTCTAAGACTGACTTAGACTTTTTACTGCATAGTACTTTTCATGGGAGTTAATTTGGAGAGGGATAATCAGTTTTTAGTATTCTTTGATTTTCGTTGTGGCATCGAAATGTAACTCTCAAGCCTGGAAGCCATGATTTAATCTAGGAAAGAAGATTCTTCCAGTTGGAGGATCAGTACAGCATTAGTGATTTTTGACATTTGATAGCTCAGATTGTTCTTCAGGGTTGTATATACACATGCACGTGCCCACATACTTGAAAATGTTTTCATGTTTATAACTGTCGTAGTGCTAAGCTGAGTCCTCAGTTTCTCATGTAGAGGTGGATATTTCAGTGCACATGGTTTATCAGTGGAAGTCTGTCATCACCACTATAGCAGGCTAGTAGTAGCTCTCCCCAGCCCTGCCGTGTGGTGTCTGTGGTAGACACAGAGTGTGGTAGAGAACACTGACTGGGCTGGAATGCCCCTTTATTTCCGGTTGTGTTCCAATGACTTCCCATTGAAAAATTGTAGGGAAAAGGTGTGAGTGTATAATTTTTGCTTCATTTTTTGTTTTAAAGGAGATGCAAGCCAAGCTCGCAGCACAAAAATTAGCTGAAAGACTGAATATTAAAATGCAGAGCTATAATCCAGAAGGGGAGTCTTCGAGGAAATACCAAGAAGTAAGGGATGAAGGCGATGATCAGTCCTCCGATGACGAATTCTGAAGATGGGCGTTTGGATCTTCTCCTAAATCTCTGCCTGTTGAGATCTCATTATCTTACATCAGACTTTCTAACAAGTATCAAGATCAGTGTCAGACATGGTTGAGAGAAAGAGTTTTGTCAAGTTACAACAAGGAAGCTATAAAAATAGCCCACTTTCAGAAGTTAACTTTCATGTGCTTGAAGAGTTTAATATTTGAATATTGTGTTTAATCACATTATATTAAACTTTTGCAGTATGTCGTGTGTTGGTCTGATATTTTAGTATATAGTAGAGCACATTTTTTTCTCTAAGCCAAATGAAAGCAGGTGATTAACTGCTTTTTTCTTTATACTTACCTCTACCAAATAGCATTTATTACATGTCTTTCAGTGAATTATTTAGTTGTCCCAGGCATCACCTAAAATGAATTACGAAAATATAGTTCTCTCCTTTTTTGAGTAATGAAGGGAGCAATCTAGAGAATTTTGTGCATGTTGCATGGGGCTGTTACAGGATTGGATGTGAAATACCAAGGAAGACACTTATAGAAAATGCTTAAAACGTTTGTTTCCTTCTGTCTTCCCTTAGGAAAAATGTTTTCTTTCTTCTGATTAGGAATAAGGGGTACTTTTAGTTGATGCTGGAGGGTGGATGGTCTTTCTAGGTGACCAGATTTGTCTGGAGTAACATGAACAGGAAAAGTCTAAGATGACTGATGTACGTGAAGGGAGTAGCTGTTCATAGGCCTGGCCTGACTTGACTTCATTGTTCTAACATGATAGGTTCAGTTTGATAAGAAAACCAAAAATTTTTTTAAAGCTACCATTGGTTTGTTATCAATACGTTGCTTTTCCGCCCCCCCAGATGAGGCTTATGTACACTGCAGAAACCTCAATCTCATATATATGCAATTTTAAAGGACCATGGTTGTCTCCAGAGAAATTAACACATATGTTATCAAAGTTTTCTTTGTCTAATATGTTGGCGCCTTTAAACACTGTTCAAAGAATAAAATATTAGAGCAACTTCAAAATGCTAATAGTGATGTTTTACTGGTGCTTGATTAAATGTAACTTAACTTTAAAGGAGACTTTGTTTATGAAATTTGATCAAGAATACATTTAGGCAGATGTACATGTGATAGGAAGGGCTCAGTTCTATGTCATGTCCTTCCAGGAATGGCTACTGCTTTCCATCTCCCTTTTGCCCTCCTCCCAACAAAAAGCAAATGTAGAAATACGCTGAGCAAACAATTCCATTATTTTTAGTTTTTAAAACTAATTGTAAATGATTTCACATCCTAAAGTTATTTGATGCTCCTTCTTTATAGAATGAATACATGTTATTTCTGGAAAGCTGGATCATGGGAGGGCTCACATGCACATACACACAGTCCCCCTGTAGTCCCACCACTGAGAGGGGGCCTCTGTTAACATTTGGGTACGTGTACATACGCATACCTTTCTATGCATAGCTATACATTTCTATTTTCAATAATACAATCATACACTGGTTAACAGTCTGCTCTATACACTGTAAACATTTTCACATATTAAATATTTTGCATTTTAGATAGCTGCAGAATATTCCATTTTATGGGTGTACTGTAACTTTTAAAATCAACTTGTTGGTAAGTGAGGAAAACTGAGGCATAGCAGTAGGTTTCCATATCTAGCAAGGGAAGGAATCAGGCCTCAAACTCAAGCCATCATCCAACCCCAAAGCCAGTGCTCTTCACCAATGAATGTTTATCCTGAGAACGACCCCCAGAAGACAAAATGATATCAACAAACCGACTGGAGAAGAACCAAGATGGCGGAGTAGAAGGACATGCTCTCACTCCCTCTTGCAAGAACACCAAAATCACAACTAGCTGCTGGACAGTCATCGACAGGAAGACACTGGAACTCACCAAAAAAGATACCCCACATCCAAGACAAAGGAGAAGCCACAATAAGACAGTAGGAGGGGCGCAATCACAGTAAAATCAAATCCCATAACTGCTGGGTGGGTGACTCACAGACTGGAGAACACTTATAGCACAGAAGTCCACCCACTGGAGTGAAGGTTCTGAGCCCCACGTCAGCCTTCCCAACATGGGGGTCTGGCAACGGGGGGAGGAATTCCTAGAGAATCAGACTTTGAAGCCTAGTGGGAATTGACTGCAGGACTTAGACAGGACTGGGGTAACAGAGGATCCACTCTTGGAGGGCACACACAAAGTAGTGTGCACATCGGGACCCAGGGGAAGGAGGAGTGACCCCAGGGGAGACTGAACCAGATCTACCTGCTAGTGTTGGAGGGTCTCCTGCAGAGGCGGGGGTGGGGGCGCTGTGGCTCACTGTGGGGACAAGGACACTGGCAGCAGAAGTTCTGGGAAGTACTTAGCGTGAGCCCTCCAAGAGTCTGTCATTAGCCCCACCAAAGAGCCCAGGTAGGCTCCAGTGTTGGGGTGCCTCAGGCCAAACAACCAACAGGGAGGGAACCCAGCCCCACCCATCAGCAGACGAGCTGATTAAAGTTTTACTGAGCTCTGCCCACCAGAGCAACACCCAGCTCTACCTACCACCAGTCCCTCCCATCAGGAAGCTTGCACAAGCCTCTTAGATAGCCTCATCCACCAGAGGGCAGACAGCAGAAGCAAGAAGAACTACAATCCTGCAGCCTGTGGACAAAAACCACATTCACAGAAAGATAGACAAGATGAAAAGGCAGAGGGCTATGTACC